CGGCCCCGGCTCACGCGCCGCGCGCCGCCCGCCAGCCCCGCTGCCCAGGGACGAGCGGCTCTTCCAGGACTGCGCCGAGCTGCGCCGCGCCGGCGTCCGCGCCAGCGGCGTCTACACCCTGCACATCGCCAACCTCAGCGAGCCCAAGAAGGTGAGCGCGGCGTCCTGTGGCGCCGGCAGCGTGTCCTGTGGAGCTGTGCCGCGCTGGCACAGCGTGTGGATAACATTCCTTGGGAAGGTGCCTGTGCGATGCAGCTGTGCTTGCCTGCATCCCACTCGCCTGCATCCCATGGAGGCCAGCTCCATGCACACGCTCCAGGCTCCCTGTCACTGCATCCCTGCGCCCYGGGGTTCCCATTCCCGGGTCCCAGCATCCCTCGGCCCCAGCCCCGTCCCGCTCCCGCAGGCGTTCTGCGACATGGAGACGGAGCGCGGCGGCTGGACCGTGATCCAGCTGCGTGCCAACGGCAGCGTCAGCTTCCAGCGCACCTGGAAGGAGTACAAGCAGGTGAGCGCCGCGGGGCGYGCGCCCGGGCCGGGCCGCTGCCCCGCTCAGCGCGCCGCTCCGCAGGGCTTCGGCGAGCCCGCGGGYGAGCACTGGCTGGGCAACGAGGCCGTGCACCTGCTGACGAGCCGGGCGCCCTACGCGCTGCGCGTGGAGCTGCTCGACTGGGAGGGCGCCCAGGCGCTCGCGCTCTACGAGCGCTTCCAGCTGGGCAGCGAGCGGCAGCTCTACAGGTAGGAGCGGGGCAGCGCCCGGGGGGCTCAGGCTGCCCCCTTCCCCTGCCACTGCTTGGGAGCCCCGGGAGGGCTGCAGGACTCAGGCGCTGCATGCACCGCTGCATTGTTGTGTGCATTGCTGCATGCACTGCTGCATTGTTGTGCACGCTGCTGCATGCACCGTTGCATGTACTGGTGCCTGCAAGTCTCCAGGCACTTCCACACGCACCTCCTCCCCTGGCATTTTGGACCGTTGTTCTGCCACTTCCTCCTGTTCTCCCCCAGGGCCCCGAAGGGCCAAGGCTAGTGCAGGAGCTGCGTTAGAAGCAGGGGTTTCCTGCACRAGCCGGCAGCAAGCTGCAGTGCTGGCAGGTCCCCTCGGTGGCGCTGGGGACAAGCAGACCCCCCCAGCGTYCCCCCAGCCCGTCTCCATGCCCCGTGCAGGCTGGCGCTGCAGGGCTACAGCGGCACGGCCGGGCAGCAGAGCGGCATGGCCCTGCAGGGCACCAACTTCAGCACCCGCGACGCCGACCACGACAACTGCCTGTGCAAGTGCGCCCAGATGCTCTCGGGAGGTGAGCAGGCGCTGGGGGGCGGCCCCAAAGCCCCTCCGGCCCCCGCCGCCGGTGCCCCCTGCTCCATTCCCTCCGCCAGGCTGGTGGTTCGACGCCTGCGGCCTCTCCAACCTCAACGGCATCTACTACCCGGCGCGGCACAACATCCGCAAGCTCAACGGCATCCGCTGGCACCACTTCCAGGGGCCCAGCTACTCGCTCAAGGGCACCCGCATGCTCATCCGGCCCGCGGGCTTCTAGCGCGGGGCGGCCCCACCGGCCCCGCATCCCCCCGCGGCGCCGGAGCCCCAGGAGAGGGAAGCGGCCCCAGCGGGACCGTGCCGGTGCCCTGAGCCCATGGAGGGGTCTCACTCTGGTACCGCTTTCCCCTGTGGTTTCTCTCCCACCCCGGGAAGCTGGAGCCAGCGGAGCTGCAGGGGATGGTGCCGCGGTGGGAGCCCCGGTGTGCCCGGGTTTGGGGCAGGGCGCTGCTCCCCACCAGCTCCAGCCCTTCCCGGGTTGGTTTCAGCTTCAGCAGTTCCCAGCCCGGATTCATCCTCTTGTTGAGCCTCTGTGTGGCCTCCAGCTCCTCCAAACCGGYTCCAGAGACAGCCGGGCCTCCTGTGTGGATGCAGGGGACGGAGGGGTGACTCGACCCCGGCTCTGCCTCCTCCTCTGTATTTGGGCCCTTCCCAAGCCACCACCATCCCTCTTTGCCACATCCGCTGCAGGAGGGCAGTGGGATCCCCGTGCCCCATCCCCAGACAGGAGCCGGGAGCACCCCGGGAGCTGGGAGAGGGATCTTTGGGAGGGGATGAGCGGGAGCAGAGGGGCCCGACTCGGCGCTGTTGGGCTGAGGAGCAGGGACCCAGCAAGGCGAGCGGAGCCCGAGGCTGCTGCACCCCCTGCATTCACCCCTGCTCCCCCTGCACAATCCCGACCTCGCTCTGGAGCGTGGGAACAGCCCGGACAAAGTGCCACGGGCCACGTTTCCCTCGAGAGCAGCAGCACAGCCGGGATGCAGCTGCAGGAGCAGCTGCACGGAGCTGAGCACGGATCTGTACCGCAACGGAGCGGAGCGGAGCAGAGCCGGAGAGGAGCCGGAGCAGAGCCGGAGAGGAGCTGGAGAGGAGCTGGAGCAGAGCTGGAGAGGAGCCGGAGTAGAGCCGGAGCAGAGCTGGAGCAGATCCAGAGCAGAGGGGAGCAGAGCCAGAGCACAGCTGGAGAGGAGCCGAATCGGAGCCGGATCAGAGCCGGATGGGAGCTAAATCAGAGCCAGATGGGAGCCGGATTGGAGCCGCAGGACATGGGGCAGCCCAGACCCTGCCGGCCCCTGCACCAGCCCCTCCGCCCGGGCCCTCCCTTGGCCCCCGCAGCCTCACACGCAGCTTTTGCCCTCCTCTTGCTTGGCCTGGAGACGCTCCTATTTGAACTAAGAGATATTTATTTTGTAATAAGCCACTGTGCGGGACRTCCCCGTTACCCATCCTGCAGCTGCATCGGGCGCCCCAGGGCGAACCTGGAGCTAACTCGGCTCCGTCCTGGCACCAGCTGCTGCCGTGGCCAAGGAAGCGGGGACAGGGACATGGTGGCACTCTGAGGGACAGCAYGGCCACAGTGTCACCGCTGCAGGAGCAGCCTCCAGCCCCACATACGTGACGTGGCTGCACAYAGAGGACCCCGCGGCCCCTTGGCTGCCCTTGAGACCCTTTGCCTCATGGTGGGGACATACTCGGCCCAGCAGGACGCTCCGGCCAACCCCATCCCAGGCTCTGCAGGACCATGGGGCTTTGGGATGCAGGTGTGGATGCAACCTCAGCCAGGGGGATGCACCCCAGGGCATTCCCAGGGYTTTCCCAGTACAGACCCGCTGCAGGCCCCGGGATCACAGGCTGGTCCGGTGTCGGGGCTGGAGTTCCCATCCCTGCCGTGTCGCCGCGTCCCCATCCAGCCCATTGCCACTAGAGGTCCCCAGCAGCCCGGTGACAGCGGCCACAAGGCCGGTGGGTGACACTGGCCACCCCAGTGGCTCCGCTCGAACCCCCGCGACCGCCCTCCCCCGCACATSACCCCGCACCCCTGCCCCGCGGCACCGCGGGCATGGGCGCACTTGGGTGCACACGCGTGCMCGTGCAAACACGCGTGCACGCAAATAGGGACACGCAGGGGCCCGCAGGGACACGGGGGCTTGCAGCGCGCCCCCCCGTGCCCCCTGGGGCCGCGCGGGGGCTCCGGCCCCGGCTGCGCGCGCCCCGTCCAAGCGCGCGCCCCGCGCCCGCGGCGCCGTCTCCAGGCAGCAGCTAATTAACGCTGATTAAAACCCGTGACACACTTGGCACCTTCCAAAGAGGCTCATCAGCGGCGCGCGGCCTCCTAATTAGCAGCGGCGCGCGAGCGTTGGGGGCGGGCCCGGCGGGGACCCCCCCCCGGCCCCCCCGGCGGCTCCGCACCTGGGCTCGCCCCCCCGCCGCCCCCCCAGCGCCGCCTGCGATGGAAACGGCCGGGAAAGGGGGGGCTGCAGGGAGGCAGCAGCCCCTGCACCCCACAAAGGGGGTCCTGGCGCAGGGACAGTGTCCCCCCAGCTGTCCCCCTCCCCAGTTATAAATAGCCCGCGGCTCAGCTGCGTCTCCACAGGGAAACTGGAGCTGGTGGAGGGACAGCTGCTGGGAAGGCGATAGGAGAGCGTGGAGCGGAGCAGCAGTGCCGGGACTGCACGTCTGTCCCCAAGGAGGACAGGGACAAGGTGGGGGCTGGCGGGGGCCGTGCCAGGCCCTGCAGCGCRGGGCAGGGCTGGTAGTGAGTGCAGGCGGCACGCGCGAGTGGGGACCTGAGCAAGCAGCGTTTCCGCATGTGGGGTGTGCGCTTGCCTGTGCGTGTGCCTTGGCATGCACACATGCACACGTCAGTGCATGCACATGCACATACAGACACGTGTGCACATGTGTGTGCATGCAAGTGTGTCTGTGCATACACATGCATGCATGCGCACTCGAGGGTGCAGGGCTTTGGATGACCAAGACCTGCTCATGTTGTGCATCCACAGGGCCAGAACCCCTTCTTCTTGCCCAGCACGAGTAAATTTAGACCAAGCTCTGCTGAGGAATCCGGCAGCGCAGCCGGTCCCGGCGCCAGTGCAGCTGGAGTATTATCCAGGATGGGATCAGGTCCCGGCAGAGCATTCCTGGCAGGTGAAGCACCCTATACACAGGGCTGGGGAGCTGCTGCCTGCCGATGCCCGGGTGCCGCGCTCCCCTGCAGCACCGGCTGCCGACGGACGGGACCCCCATTGCACCTACACCGCCCTGGTGCCCATGAGGTCTGCGCCCACCCATCACAACGGGTTGGAGCCAGGAATTCCTCATGAGGGATCCCAGGAGCCCCTGGCCGCACAGAGAGCCACACGCTGCTGCTGAGCACAGCACTTTAATAGCCGGCCGCTTTTCCCCCCATCGGCCAGAGCTTTCCCAGCTCAGACCTCGGCAGAAACAACAGGAACGAGGAAGGGACCCACGGGAGCATCTTCATAAATAACAGGACGTAGCGCGGCAGCTCCCAGGGGACGTTTTCCTTGCCAGGTTATAAAAAGAGGGATAGGAACGTGGGTGGATGCACAATGGAGAGCTTGGATCTGACCTCCCAGTGGAGCCTCCATGTGCCCAGTCCAGTCCAACCTCCGAGGATCCTCCAAGAGTCCCGAGGTTTGCTGCCCGTCCCGCTAGACATTGGAGACCTTCTGGGTCTCGCGGGCCTGGCGCAGCCCGTAGAGCCACTTGATGACGCGSGCGTTGCGCTCCACGACGGAGATGCCGTAGGGCATGCGCTCGGGCGGGCGGCCCGCGGGGCTGGCGGCGCTGCAGGGCGAGCGGCCGCCCTCCGAGCTGGCCGTGCTGCCGCTGGGCGGCTTCACGGACACGATGTCGGAGGCGGCGCGGGCGAAGCGCTCGGCACCCAGGCCCTGCAGCTCCTCGGGGTCCAGCCCGCAGTAGTTGAAGAAGCGCTCGAGGTCGGCGGTGGCGCGCGAGTAGCGGTCGCTCAGGTCCGACTTGGAGCGGTGCAGCAGGGGCTGCCGGCGGGCGCCCTCGGCGCATGGGCTGCGCACAGGCGAGCGCGGCGAGGGGACGGGGACGGGCGACATGGGCACCGCTGCCTGCAGCGCCCCGCAGGGCCGCACGTCCACGCGGCGCAC